ACGGCTCCTTCATCGTCACTATTGGCATTTTCTGCGTCACTTGCATTGATTCTCGTAAAGAGATCTCCGTTCATAAGCGGCACGATGCCGTGGTCGTCTCCACTTCCCATCATAGTGTGAGTCTTGCCCGATCCTGTCTGCCCGTACGCGAAGATTGTGCCGTTATAGCCTTGAAGAGCTTGGTCTACCAACGGCTTGGCAATATCTCCGTATACTTGAGCTTGAGTGCTCTCCGTATAGTAAGCGAAGTCGAAAGTATACTGTTTCTTTTCGGAAGTATCTGAAGCATCCGAAGGTGGTGAATTGGAAGCAGAAGCTTGTGCATCAGCGGTAGGATAAATTACCACCGTCGTTCCGTCAAGTACTTGAACGATCCCGTGTGCACCCATTTGCGTCTCCCGAGAGCTCATGGGGCGACATCGCACTGCTACCTTCACGTTCACGTCCATTGACATGGCCACAACTCAATGATCTCAAAATGAAGCGTCGTGTCCAAATCCACCTGCAAAATAAAAAATAACTTACAAACACAACACAAAAATTACGACGTGAGTCAATTGATTCTACCCGAAAAATACTGCTAAGAGTTGCTCGTCTTGCTCGCTGTCCAAAGATAAGCAGGATATCTAGTCGCTCTTGGGCGTCACTTTAGAGTGGCCACCCTGGTCGTGCTTCTGAGTATTATCTGACTCCGCAGGCGTCGTGGGCTTGAACATGGCGCCATTGAAAGGCAGGAACGGCGCAATCTTCTCGTGGAACTGCCACCTCAAGCGGTCCACAACTCCCTCCACTGAGTCCAATGCCGGACGCACGTCCAAATAGACGGAAAGGGGCTTCCCGGGCGTCGCTGCTCCCGAGTAAAAGTCGATGACGTAGCGCACTTCCTTGCCATCTCGGTCCACGACCCAGTCGTGACGGTCAAAAGGCAGCACGGACCATCCCAGCAGGTTCATCATCTTGGCTTTGGGACTATATTCGGTCGGCTTGCCCATAAACTTCTTGAGCTTGACGGGCTCCTTTGATCTGCATTAAAAACCCGATGAATTAGTGACCAAGGAACTCCTAATTAAGAGTTAATCAATTAAACGTACGGGTGAAAGCTCTCCCACTTGAGCACCTCACGCCAGCTCTGCTCGTTGACCGTGTTATGAATGGCTACAATGGTCTTCATCTGCTGCGCCTCAGGAGCCCAGCCCTTGCGCTTCATGGCCTTAAAGTACATGTCCTCGCTCGGATACTCCCATTTATCCTCGGTTCCAGTCTGATGCTCGGGCGTAAAGTCGCCCTTGGGGATCGAAGACACGGCGCGATCTTTTGACAAGTGGATGGGAGCAGCTCCAGACCCGCGTACTGTGAAGCCAGCAGCGTGGTTGGCGGCGCGCATCATCTCGGCACTGAGGCCGATATCTGCGTCATTGCCATCGCTCTTCCTGTGGTCCACGGGACAGCCTTGAGCCTTGGCTGTGTCGGCCTTGCTGTGGTCTACAGGACATCCTTGGGCCTTGGCTGGCGTCTTGTGCGGAGGGTGCGGACAGGCCGCGGCCGCCGAGTTGACTTCGGCTGTCATTCTTGAGAAACGAATGGAAAGCTGTGCAATCGACCAACGAGTGTATCGCGTCAAGATGCCAAGCACTTTTCCTAAAAAAAAAA